TTTAGGGTTAGGATTAGGTTTAGGGATAGTGTTATGGTTAGGGTTAAGGTTAGGTTTTGTGTAAGGTTTAGAGTTAGGTTTAGGGTTCGTATTAGTGTTATGTTTATGGTGAGTGTTAGGGTTAGTGTTAGGGTTTTTGTTATGTTTTAGATTAGAGTTAGGGTTAGTATTACCTTAGGGTTAGTGTTAGGATTATTTTTATTTTTAGGGTTAGGGTTCAGTTTAGTCTTAGTGTTAGGTTTTGTGTTAGGGTTTGTTTTAGGATTAGTGTTAGGGTAAAGTTTAGGGTTAATGTTTGGGTTAGGGTTAGGTTTAGGTTTAGTGTTAGGTTTAGGCTTTGGGTTAGGTTTACTGTTAGTGTTGGTGTTACGTTTATTGTTAGATTGAGGGTTAGTGTTAGTGTTTGGGTTACGGTTAGTGTTTGGGTAAATATTATTGGTAGGGTTAGGTTTAGGGTTAGGGTTAGTGTTATTGTTAGGTGTGGGTGTAGGGTTTGAGTTAGAGTCAGGGTTAGGCTAAGTGTTTGTGTTAGGGTTAGGGTTAATATTAAGGTTAGTGTTAAGGTATGGGATAGGTTTAAATATACAGTCAATATTAGGGTTAGGGTTAGGTTTAGGATTTGGGTTAGTGTTAGTGTTAGGGTTAGGGTTAGTGTTAGGGTAAGGTTTAGTGATAGGTTTAAGGTTAGGGTTAGTGTTAGGCTTAGTTTTAGTGTTAGTGTTAGGGTTAGGGTTAGTGTTTTGTTAGGGTTAGTTTCAGGGTTAGGGTAAAATTTAGGGCTAGAGTTAGTGTTAGGGTTTAGTTCAGGGTAAGGTTTAGTGTTAGGGTTATGGTTAGGCTCAGTATTAGGGTTAGGATTAGTATTTGGGTTGCGTATGCCTAGGTCAAGTGTGAAAAATGGATAGAGAATGCACTGAGAACTAATTGAGTGTTTCATCTTTCATGCACCTACCACAAACCATGTTTGATTTAGTGTTAAGGTTAGATTTATGTTTAGGTTTAGGGTTAGGATTAGGTTAGGCTTATGGTTACTGTTAGGGTTAGGGCTAGTGTTGCTGTTAGTGTCAGGGTTAGGTTTAAGTTTACTGTTAGGGTTATGGTTAGGGTTAGGTTTACAGTTAGGATTAGGTTTAGGCTTTGGGTTAGAGTTAGTTTTAGGATTAGGGTGAGGTTTAGGGTTAGTGTTAGGGTTAAGTTAGGGTTAGGATTAGGATTAATATTAGGGTTAGAATTAGAGTTAGGCTTAGAGTTAATGTTAGTGTTAGTGTTAGGGTTTAGGTTAGTGTTTGGTTTAGGGTTAGGGTTAGTATTAGTGTTAGGGTTAGGGTTATTGTTAGGGTTAGGGTAAGGGAGAGGTTAGTGTTACTTTTAGGTTTAGGGTAAGGGATAGTGTTAAGGTTAGGGAGAAGGTTAGGGTTAGGTTTAGGGTGTTTTTTCCTTGCCTCTGCATATCGTACATCAAGAGGGAACAATGGATAGAGAGCTCACTGAGAACTAATTGAGTGTTTCATGTTTCACGCAAATAGCACAAACCGTTTTTGATTTAGAGTTCCAACTGCATCTATCCCTATAGGGGAAAACAGAGTGAAACGTAAAAATTCAATGTGTTCCTGGAAATGAACACTTCAAACTAGAAGAATGAAATGGGGGGGCAAGTGCGACTGGAGTAACAATATACCTGCCAAATATCAACAAGTTCTTGAGAAAGAATATTTGCTGAGATTTCAGTCAACTAGGAGTTCTGTAGAAGCTTGGCAAACACTTTCAAATTAAAGTATGTTTTTCTTTCCTCTGCTTAGGGCTACTTCAAGAGGGAACACAGCATAGAGTGTGCACTGAGAACTAATTGAGTGTGTCAAGTTTCAAGCAGCTAGCACAAACTGTGTTTGATTTAGAGTTCCAAATGAATGCATCCCTATAGGGAAAAACAAAGTGAAACCTAAAAATTCAAAGTGTTCCTGAAAACGAATGCTTCAACCTACAGAAATGAAATTAGGGAGGCCAAGTGAGACAGGAGTATCCATCATTCCTAAAAAGTATCAATACAATCAGATGAAAAAATGTTTGCTGAGATTTCAGTAAACTTGGAGTTCTGTGGAAGCTTGGCAAATGATTTCAAGTACAACTGTTTATTGACTCTGCTTCGGGCTACCTCAAGGGTGAACCAAAACTCAAGAGCTCAATAAGAACGAATTGAGAGTGTCAAGTTTCATGGAGATAACACAAACGTTCTTTGATTTAGATTTCCAACTGCATGTATATACCTATAGGGGAAAACAAATTGAAACTTAAAAATTCAAAGTGTTCCTGCAAACGAATGCTTCAACCAAGAAGAACGAAGTTTGGGGGGCCACGTGTGTGGAATAACAATCATTCCTGTGAAGTATCAACAGGATCAGGGAAAATATATTTGCTCAGATTTCAGTCAACTCGGAGTTCTGTGGAAGCTTGTCAAATGCTTTCATGTGGAAGTGTTTTTTTCCTTGCCTATGTTTAGGACTACTTCAACAGGGAATAAAGTGTAGAGATCACACTGAGAACTAATTGAGAGTGTCAAGATTCAAGCAGCTAGATCAAATCGTGTTTGATTTAGGGTTCAAAATACATCTATCCCTATAGGAGAAAACAAAGTGGAACCTGAAAAATTTACAGTGTTCCTGCAAAGGATCGTTTCAACCTAGAAGAATGAAATTTGGAGGGCCAAGTGCTACTGCAATACCGATCATTCCTGCCAAGAATCAACAAGATCAGTGAACAATTATTTGCTGAGATTTCAGTAAACTCAGAGTTCTGTGGAAGCTTGGCAAACACTTTCAAATGAAAGTGTTTTTTCCTTGAATGACAAGTGCCTCTGCTTAGGGCAATTTCAAGAGGGAACAAAGCACTGAAACTAATTCAGTGTATCAAGGTTGAAGCAGATAGCACAAACCATGTTTGATTTAGAGTTTCAACTGCATCTAACCCTATAGGGGAAAATGATGTGAAATCTAAAATTTCAAAGTGTTCCTGCAAACCAATGCTTCAACCTAGAAGAACAAAATTTGGGGTTCCAAGTGCAACTGGAGTACCAATCATTTCTGCCAAGTATCAACAAGATCGGGGGAAAAATATTTGCTGAGATTTCAGTAAACTCACAGTTCTGTGGAAGCTTTGCAAACACTTTCAAATGAAAGTGTTTTTTCCCAGCCTCTGCTTCGGGCTACTTCAAGAGGGAACAAAGCAGAGGGAGCACATTGAGATATAATTGAGTGTGTCAAGTTTCAAGCAGCTAGCACAAACTGTGTTTGATTTAGAGTTCCAACTGCATATATCCCTATAGGGGAAAACAAAGTGAAACTTAAAATTCAAACTGTTCCTGCACTAGAATGCTTCAACCTAGAAGAACCAAGTTTGCTGGTCCAAGTGGGACTGGAGTAATTATCATTCCTGCTAATTATCAAAAAGTTCAGGTGAAAGAATATTTGCTGAGATTTCAGTAAACTTGGAGTTTTGTGTAAGCTTGGCAAACGCTTTCAAATGAAAGTTAATTTTCCTTAACTGACAAGTACCTCTGCTTAGGGCTACTGGAAAAGGGAACAAAGCATAGAGTTCACACTGAGAACTAATTGAGTGTGTCAACTTTCAAGCATCTAGGACAAAGCATGTTTCATTTACGGTTTCAACTGCATGTATCCCTATAGGGAAAAAAAGTGAAACTTAAAAACTCAAACTCTTCCTGCAATGAACACTTCAACCTACAAGAATGAAATTTTGGGGCCAAGTGAGACTGGAGTACCTATCATTCCTACAAAGTATCAACAATATGGGGTGAAAAAAATATTTGCTGAGATTTCAGTCAACTCAAAGTTCTGTGGAAGTATGGCAAACACTTTCATGTGAAAGTGTTTTTTCCTTGCCTATGCTTTGGACTAGTTCAACAGGGAAGAAAGCATAGAGAGCTCTCTGAGAACCAATTGAGTGTGTCCAAGTTTTAAGCCGCTAGAACAAACCGTGTTTGATTCAGAGTTCCAACTGCATCTATCCCTAAAGCGGAAAATGAAGTGAAACCTAAAATTTCAAAGTGTTCCTGTAAACGAACGCTTCAACCTAGAAGAATGAAATTTGGGGGTCCAAGTGCAACTGGAGTACTGATCATTCTTGCCAAGAATCAACAAGATTGAATAAAAAAAATTTGCTGAGATTTCAGTAAACTTGGAGTTCTGTGGAAGCTTGGCAAATGCTTTCAAATGAAAGTATTTTTTCCATGCCTCTTCTTAGGGCTACTTCAAGAAAGAACAAAGCATAGAGAGAAGATTGTGAAATAATTGAGTGTGTCAAGTTTCAAGCAGCTAACTAAAACCGTGTTTGATTTCGAGTTTCAACTGCATCTATCCCTATAGGGGAAAATGAAGTGAAACCTAAAAATTTAAAGTGTTCCTGCAAATGAATGCTTCAACCTAGAAGAACGAAATTTGGGGGACCAAGTGGGACTGGAGGACCAATCATTCCTGCCAAGTATCAACAAGATCAGGTGAAAAAATATTTACTGAGATTTCTGTAAACTCGCAGTTCTGTGGAAGCTTTGCAAACACTTTCAAATGAATGTGTTTTTTTTTCTTGTATCTCCTTAGGTCTACTTCCAAATGGAACAAAACATAGAGAGAATACTGAGAACTAATTGAATGTGTCAACTTTCAAACAGGTAGCACAAAGCATGTTTGATTTAGGGTTCCAACTGCATCTATCCCTATAGGGGAAAACAAAGTGAAACCTGAAAAATTCACAGTGTTTCTGCAAATGAACGCTTCATCCTAGAAGAACAAAATTTGGGGGGCAAAGTGCAACTGGAGTACTGATCATTCCTGCCAAATATCAACAAGATCGGGTGAAGAAATATTTGCTGAGATTTCAGTAAACTCAAAGTTCAGGGGAAGCTGGGAAAATGCTATCAAATATTTTTTTTTTTTTCCCAGCCTCTGCTTCAAACTACTTCAAGAGGGAACAAAGCATAGAGATCACACTGAGAACTAATTTAGTGTGTCAAGTTTCAAGCAGCTAGCACAAATTATAACTGATTTGGAGTTCCAACTGAATCTGTCCCGATAGGGAAAATTAAGTGAAACCTAAAAATTCAAACTGTTCCTGCAAATGAATGCTTCAACCTAGAAGAATAAAATTTGGAGGGCCAAGTGCGACTGAAGTACTGATCATTACCACCAACTATCACCAAGATTGGGTGAAAAAATATTTGCTGGGATTTCAGTAAACTCGAGTTCTGTGGAAGCTTGGCAAATGCTTTCAAATGAAAGTATTCTTTCCTTTCAACTACTTAGGCCTACTTCAAAAGGTAACAAATCTGAGATAGTGAACTGAGAACTAATTGAGTGTGTCAAGTTTCAAGCAGCTAGCACAAACTGTGTTTGATTTAGAGTTCCAACTGCATCTATGCCTATCAGGGGAAACAAAGTGAAATCTAAAAATTCAATGTGTTCCTGCAAATGAACACCTCAATGTAGGAGTATGAAATTTGTACTTCTACAAATGTCAAGTTTCAAGCAGCTAGTACAAACCGTGTTTGGTTTAGAGTTTCAACTGCATTTATTCTTATAGGGGAAAACAAAGTGAAATCTAAAAATTCAAAGTGTCCGTGCAAACGAATGCTTCAACCTAGAAGAACAAAATTTGGAGGGCCAAGTTCAACTGAAGTACTGATCATTCCTGCCAAGTATCAACAAGTTCATTTGAAAAAATAGTTGCTGAGATTTTAGTAAACTTGGAGTTCTGTGGAAGCTTGAAAAACGCTTTCAAATGAAAGTATTTTTTCTCAACCTCTGCTTCAGGCTACTTCAAGAGGAAACAGAGCATAGAGAGTGCATTGAGATCTAATGAGTGTGTCAAGTTTCAAGCAGCTAGCACAAACCGTGTTTGATTTAGAGTTCCAAATGAGTGTATATTTATGGGGAAAATGAAATGAAACTAAAAATTCAAACTGTTCCTGCAAACGACCGGTTCAGCCTAGAAGAACAAAATTTGGGAGGCAAAATGCCACTGCAATACCAATTATTCCTGCCAAGTATCAAACAGATTGGGTGACAAAATATTTGAGATTTCAGTAAACTTGTAGTTCTGTGAAAGCATTGCGAACACTTTCAAATAAAAGGGATTTTTCTTTGAATAATGAGTGCTTCTGCTTAGGGCTACTTCAAGAGGAAAGAAAGCATAGAGATCACACTGAGAACTAATTTAGTGTGTCAAGTTTCAAGCAGCTAGCACAAACCTTGTTTGATTTAGAGTTCCAATTGCATCTATCTGTATAGGGGATAACAAAGTGAAACCTAAAATTTCAAAATGTATCTGCAAAGGAACACTTCAACCTAGAAGAACGAAATTTGAGGGGCCAAGTGCAACTGGAGTTCTGATAATTCCTGCCAAGAATCAACAAATCAGGTAAAAAAATATTTGCTCACATATCAGTGAACTCGGAGTTCTGTGAAAGGTTGCCAAATGCTTTCAAATGAAAGTGTTTTTTCCTTGCCTCTCTTTAGAGCTACATTGAAAGGAACAAAGCATAAAAAGCACACTCTGAAGTAATTGAGAGGGTCAAGTTTCAAGCAGCTAGGACAAACCATGTTTTATTTATAATTCCAATTGCATCTATCCATATAGGAGGAAACAAAGTAAAACCTAAAAATTCAAAGGGTTGCAAATGAACAACTCACTCTAGAAGAACAAAATTTGGAGGGCCAATTGAGACTGGAGTGCTGATCATTCCTACAAAGAATCAATGGTATAGGGTGAAAAAAGTATTTGTTGAGATATCAGGGAACTCGGAGTTCTGTGTAAGGTTGACAAACACTTTCAAATGAAAGTGTGTTTTCAATGCCTCTGTTCAGAACTACATCAAAAGGGAACAAAGCATAGAAAGCACACTGATAACTAACCCTAACACTAACCCTAAACCTAACCCTAACCCTAACCCTAACCCTAACACAAACATTAACCCTAATAATAACCCTAAGACAAACACTAATGTTAACTCTAACACAAACTCTAACACTGAATCTAACCCTAAACCTAACACTAACCCAAAACCTAACACTAACCCTAAACCTAACACTAACCCTAACCCTAAAACTAACACAAACCCTAACCCTAATATAACTCCAACACTAACCCTAATCCCAACCCTAACCCTAACCCTAAAACTAATCCTAAATATAACCCTAACCCTAACCATAACACTGAACCTAATGCTTACTCTAAACCTCAACTTAACACTAACCCTAACTCTAACAAAAACCCTAACCCTAACCTAAACCTAACACTAAACCTAAACTGAACCAAAACCCTAAACCTAATCCTAAACCTAACCCTAACACTAACATTAATATTAACCATAACCCTAACCCTTACCCAGACACTAAGCCTAAAGCTAAACCTAACACTAACACTAAACCAAACACTAACACTTACCCTAATACTCACCCTAAACCTAACCCTAAACCTAACCCTAACACAAACCCTAAATGTAACACTAACCCTAAACCTAACTCTAACCCTAAACCAAACACTAACCCTAAACCTAACAATAAACCTAACCCTAACCCTTACACTAAACGTAACCCTACCACTAACACTAATTCTTACAATAAACCTAAACCTAACTCGAACACTAACACTAAACATAACATTAAACCTAACCCCAACCCTAACCCTAATCCTAACCATAACAATAAACATAAACCTAACCCTAAGTCTAACACTAATTCTAACCTTAACTCTAACACTAATCCTAACCCTAACCCTAACAATAACCTGAAACCTTACCCTAACACTAACATTAAAACTAATACTAAACTTAATCCTAAAAACAAGGCTAAACTTAACCCTAACCCTAACATAAACTCTTACCCTAACCAAAGCCTAACCCTAATACTAACCCTAAAACTAATCCTACCCATAACACTAATCCTAACCCTAACACTAACACTACCTTAACCCTTACCCTAACACTAACCCTAAAACTAATCCTACCTCTAACACTAACACTAACCCTAATGTTAACACTAAAAAAAACCCTAACCCTAAACGTAACATAAACTTTAACCCTAATCTAAACCTAACAATAACACTAAAACTCTCCCTAACACAAACACTACCCCTAAACATAACCCTAACCTGAAAACTAACAGTAACCAAACCCTAACCCTAATCCTAAACTTAAACCTAACCCTATTGCTAATCCTAACCATACCCCTACTCCTAACACTAACCCTAACCCTAACACAAACCCTAAACCTAATATTAAACCTAACCCTAATCTTAATCCTAACACTAACCCTAACTGTAAACATTTCCCTAACCCTAATCTTAACACAAAACCTAACCCTAAACCTAACCCTAAATCTAATCTTGACACTAATTCTAACCATAACCCTAAATCTACCATTAAACCTAAACATAACTTTAATCCTATCACAAACATTAACCCTAACCCCAAACCAAACACTAAACATATCCCTAATCATGACACAAACTGTAACCCTACCCCTACCCCTAACCCTAACCTAATCCTAACAGTAACCCTAAACCTAACGCTAACTTTAACCCTAAACTTGCCACAAACCCTAACCATAACCCTAACACTAACCTTAAAACTAACCTTAGCAATAATAATAACTCTACACCTAAACCTGACCTTAATTCTAACATTTAAACTAACCCTAATCCTAACCCTAACCCTAACACTAATCCAACCCTAACACTAACCCTAAGCCTAACCCTAACTCTAAACCTAACCCTAACCCTAAAAATAATTGTAACCCTAAACATACCACAAATCCTAAACCTAACACCAAACCTAACCCTAAAACTAACTTTAACCCTAAACCTAATCCTGTCTCAAACTCTAACCTTAACAGTAAACCTAAATTTAAAACTAATCCTAACCCTAAACCTAATCCTAATCATAACCATAAACCTAACACTAACCTTAACACTAATATTAATATTAACCATAACACTAACCCTAAATGTAACCCTAACACTAACCCTAACACTAACACTTACCCTAAACTTAACACTAACACTAACCTAAACACTAACCCTAATACTAAATCTAAACTAACCCTAACTATAATACTTACCCTGACACAAATCATAATCAACCGAACACTAACCCTAACCCTAAGCCTAATCCCAACACAAATCTTAACATTAACCCTAAACCTAACCCTAACACTAAAACTAACCCTAACCCTAATCTAACACTAACCCTAAACCTAAGTGTAAACATAACCCTAAACCTAACCCTAACACTAATACTAACCCTAACATTAACCCCTAACCCTAACCCTAACCTAAACCTAACACTAAATATAACATTAACCCTGAAAATAACCTTAACCCTAACACTAACACAAATTCTAACCTAACCCTAACCCTAACACTAATCATAATACTAACCCTAAGCCTAAACCTAAACCTAAACTTACACGTAATCCACACTATAACCCTAACCCTAACTCTAACCCTAACACAAATTATAAACCTAACACTCAACCTAAACCTAACACTAACTTTAACAATAGCCATAACCCTAACAGTAAAACTTACCCTAACTATAATCTTTTAACACTAACTCTAAACCTAAACCGAAACCTAAATCTAATGATGACACTAATTCTAACTGTAAAACTAAACATAACACTAACGCTAAACCCAAAACTAATGCTAAACCTAAACCTAAGGGTAACACTGAGCCTAACCCTAACCCTAACCCTAATAGAAAACGTAACTCTAACCCTATCACTAACCCTAACCCTAAAACTAAAACTAAACATAACCTTAAACCTAACACTAACCTTAATGCTAACCCTAATTCAAACACTAACCTTAACACTAACACTAACCATAATCCTGACCCTAACACTAACCCTAACTTTAACACTAACACTACCCATAATCCTGACCCTAAACCTAACGCTAATCCTAAACCTAATCCGAACCCAAACCATAAATCTAAACCTACACATAAACCTAACACTAACCCTAAAACTGAGCCTAAACATAACTTTGACTCTAACCCTAATCCTATCTATAAACCTAATCCTAATGCTAAACCTAACCCTAACCCTAACCGTAACCTAATATAACCCTAAAACTAACTCTAACGCTAACCTTAAACCTAACACTAAACCTAACCATAACCCTAACCCTAATCCTAAGAGTAATCCTAAACCTAACAATAACAATAAATCTAACCCTAACCCTCACACTAACACTAAACCTAAACCTAACCCTAATGCTAATCCTAATCCTAACAATAACCCTAACAGTAAACTAAACTTAAACCTTATCTAAACACAAACCCTTACCTTAACACTAACCTTAACCATAACATTACCCCTAACCTTAACCCTAACTGGAAACCTAATTCTAAACCTAACACTAATCCTAATCCTAACACTAAAACTAACCCTAACCCTAACACTATCCTAACCCTAATCCTGACCAAACCCTATCCCTAAAGTTAAGACAAACCCTAATCCAACACTAACCCTAACCCAAACCCTGACAATACACTAACCCTAAAGCAAAATATAAACATTAACATAACTCTAATCTTAACACTAACTCTAAACATAATTCTAACCCTAAACCTAAACCTAACCCTAATCCTAACTCTAACCCTAATCCTAAACACTACCCTAAAAAAACCCTAATGAGAAATGTAACAACTAACCCTAACATACACCTAACAGTAACCATAAACTTAACCCTAACCTTAATCCTAACCCTAACTCTAACACTAACCCTAACCCTAAATCTAACACTAAACTTAACCCTAAACTTAACCTTAACCCTAACCCAAACACTAACCCTAACCCTAATCCTAACCCTAATCCTAACTCTAATTCTAACATTAACTCTAAACCTAACACTAATCCTAATGCTAACCATAACCCTAACACTAACCCTAACCCTAACTCTAACACTCACCATAACCCTAACCCTAACCATAACCCTAAACCTCACCCTAAAATCAACCCTATCCCTAAGAGTTACTCTAACCTAACCTTAACACAAACTCTAATTTTAACACTAAACCTGACCCTAACCCTAACCCTTAACCTAAACCTACACCTAACTCTAACCCTAACCCTAACACTAAGCATAACCCTAACTTTAACTCTAACCCTAATCCTATTCATAACCCTAATCCTAACCCTAACCCTAACCCCGACTCTAAGCCTAACAAAACCATAACCCTAACGTAACCCTAACTCTTAACCTAACCCTAACCCTAACACTGAATCTAACCTTAATCCTAAAACTAATCTTAAAAATAACCATAACCCTAACACTAACCGTAACCCTAACACTAAACAAAACTCTAACACTAACCCTAATCCTAACCAGAAACCTAATTATAATCCTAACAATAA